AACCCTGTAATCTGGTGGAGGTCTTGCCGCAGCGGTTGTCACTTGAAAATTGGTTTCTATCCACAGGGTCCATGTGGCCAGAGGCAGAGAGGTGCTGGGCTCTGTGTGGGAAAAATGAGGTCCTAGAGTGGGCAAAAGAATATGGAGGGCTGGTGGGGGAGGAGGCAGGGCCTGGCACTGCCTGGCAGAAATGCTGCTTGCCTGAAATGCACCAGGGAGCGAAAATCATCCTTGGGGATACCCCTGGGGGATAAGACCCTGGGGAGCAAAGAGTGCTCCTGACAGGGAGAAGACCAGAACAGAACCATTCATCAGGCTGAGGACATGATGTCCAGGACCACCTGGAGGCTCCCAAAGTCAGTGGAGAAGCACTCACCTCTAGCCCCATCCTCTCCTGGGCCTGGGACTGGTGATGCCTCCAGCCTCTTTCCTTCACCACAAATTACCTGGCCAACCCCTTCTGTCAGCCTTTTCCCCCCTTTCTAGACAAAACAACCTTTCCCCATTCCTGGGACTGCTCCCTTCTTCTCCAGACTTGCCTAGCCTCTTTCATCATGCCAATAAAAGAGTAAATGCATCACAGGCTGGCCAGGGAGAGTGGAAACCCTTAAACATCTAAGAGGCGAGAGCGACAAGAGGTGTTTTTGCGAGGCTCCCTGATGCCCTGTTAGGTCAAATGTCTTGCTCTGAAGCAGGAGAGAGGGGACTTATTAAAAACCTTTCATTTTTCTGATTTTTAAGGTCCTGTTTCAGCAGGCCGGAGGCCGAGGCGTGAGTGGGGCTGTCGGAGGGGAAGGGCAGCGAGCTGACGGCGTGCAAACAGATTGTGCAATATTTGCCTTGCACAGAGCTCCCATTGTAAAGCCTGGGAGTTCTGCTTCCAATAAATCCCCTGCCATAATGCCCCATTGATGGCAGGAGAAAGGCAGTATTGAGAGCTGAAACAGCTACGGCCTCAGGAAGGGTTAAAAAATAAAGAAAAGGGGGGGAAAAAAGTGAAAAAAAAAAAAAAGAAAGATTTGAAGCTTAGTTTTAAACTTTGCTGTGTGGCCCTCGTGGCAGATCTCAGGCACAGAGAAATATGTGGAGCCTGTTTGCATAACCCCATTTGCAGCGAGCACTTTCGGAGCCAAAACGCAAGTGCGGCCGGAGCCGGGGGGCGGTGGGGAGAAAAAAGCAGGAAGGGCTGTGCTTATTTTCATTCTTGCCCCAGGCCACATAAAATTAATAATTAAAAAAAAAAGAAAAATGAATAATTAAATATTTGGTCAGAGAACCAGCTGTGCAAATGTGAGGAGCTGTGACAGCTGCAGGGACATGGAGGGATTTGGTCCAGGCATTGGTCAGGGTTTGATGCCCTGCAGGTCATGTTCCTGGGTGTAAAAGCACCAAAAAGGAGCAGTTTGGGCTTTGGCTGGTGACTTTACCCTGGTTTCTGAATGATTCCTCAGCATGGGGAGCTTGGTTCCAGCTGGGAAGGGTCTGCAGGGAGCTGGAAGGGCTGGGCTGGGGTTCAGGGGGTGATGCTCTGCCCATAGAGCTGCTGCCAGCCCCACATCCAGCACCCAGCTCAGCTGATGGGCCTCCCCATCACCCTGAACTGGCAATGCCACTGCAGACCAGGCTGGGAGAGAGATTCAGTGTCTTGTGTCACAGCAGCTGGTGTGATGGGAGGAGCAGGGCTGTCCTTGCCAGGGCAGATGCGGGACCAAAGCAGGCAGGGTCTGCTGGCTGGCTCAGCCCTCACAGCCGGGCCGCCTGCCAGGGGAAATCTCCCCATTGTGCAACATGCTGGAGCTCTCCAAGGAAGCTCCTGGCACTTGAGACATCTCTGAGTGAGGCTGGACGAGTGACTGCCTTGAATTAAGAGAGGTTGAAGGGGTGCCTGCAGGCCCTGAGTACTTTTTCCATCCCTAGACCTTGTGATGCATTAATCACTCTCAGAGCAGCTGTGCAGACAGCTTAAATCGTCCTGACCCCAAAACTCCAGACTTGTCATTTCTTCCTCCTCCTCCCTGCTAGCCACTCCCTTCTCCTGCCTCCTGTCCTGATGTCAGTGGGGCTGGTTGGAGGGTGCCATTGCACCCCATTTCCTGGGATCTAGAGTGTATTCACTGCACCCCTTGCTGCTTTTCACCCTTTTGTCATTTCTTGGAGGAGCACTCAGAAGGTGTCCATGTGCTGCTGAGACCCAGCCAGCTGTCCCTGAACCTTCTGAGCAGGGTCACTGCCAACAAATTCACTATTTATTCACCCTTTGGCTCTTGGAAAAGCTCCCTCAGCTGAGTTAACCCTGCTGTTTCCTCCCCAGACCTGGGGCCAGCTTGGACCCATCACTGATTTAACTGAGCCAGCTGCCCTGGCTGGCACAGAAGGTCCCCTGCCCCTGTCAGCCTGTGCCCAGGTCCCTGCTGCCACCTCCTTCCCTCCTTCAATCCTCTGAGCTTTGGCCACTGACAGCAGCTGAAACTCAGGATGACTCTCCCAGCCTGTGCCTCCTCATCCAAAGGGTGTGAGCTGGATGTGACCCACCACAGGCTGTGGAGCAGCAAATCACACCCAGGAGGTGCTTGGCTCTGCTTTGCTCCTCAGAGGTGGGATCCAGCCCTGCTCCTCGTAGGTGGGCTCCAGACTCATTCCCATGGCCACACATCCCTTCTGCTGCCCCTCCTGCTCCTCCCTCCTGCTCATCCCCTGGCCCCCAGCAGGACATAGTTTATCAGTGATCTTTGTTGCCTTGAACACAGTTTCTCTGCCATGTCTCAGGCCTGACATCTTCAATTTCCTCTCTCATCTGTAACACTCACCCAAGTGGACCATTATTTATTATTTGGGAAGAGCTCTGATTACAAGCCCTGGCAATAACTCTGGTTTGGGGTGTGTACAGAGCCATGTGTGCAGGAGAACACAGGACCCAGGAGACTTTGGATCCCCCACCTCTATTTCCCTTCAGTCAGGTCCAGGTTTTTCCAGGAGGAGGATATTGTTCAAAACTAAAGGTGTTGGGGAAGAAAAGGGAGGCAAGTGGTGGCAAGGAGTGAGGGAAAGAGAGAAGAGAATTGGGTGGAAGAAATGAGAGCTGAACCCCTGGGGATTAATCAGAGCTCACTGAAGGGCTCAGCCCAGCCCTTCTGAGCTGTCGACTGAGCAGGGGTTCCTGCCAGCAGGGAAAAGCACAGAACACAGTGATCCATCCCTGCCTCCTGCTCTGTCCCCTGCACCCCTCCCTGTGCTCCTGCAAGCCCCTGAGCCCTGGCTGGAGCTGGTCCTGGTCCCTGTCCTTGACCCCATCCCCTGTGCCTGTGTCTAAAGCTAGGAGGGAGAACCCCATCCTCCCTCTGCTGTTCCTGGGAGTCCCTGGGACTGAGGAGCCTGGTGATCCCTCCTCCCCACTCCTGCATGGTGTTTAGGGTCCTAGGGAGCAGGCTGGCGTGGGGCAGGGGGGACACCTGGGGGCTGGAGGGTCAGTGGAAGGACAGGGAGTGTGGGAGGAGCCCAGGGAGGGGACCCAGAGGAGGGGATCTGGGGAGGAGATGTGCAGGGAGCCATGGAGCCATCTGTCTCATCTGCTCTTCTCAGCCAGTTCTGAAGGCAGAGCCCTCCCAGCCCCCAGTGAGCTCCAGCACAGCCCTGCAGCTGTAAGGGCAGGTGGGGTGGCTGGGCTGGGGGCTCTTGGGCTGCCCAGTGTACTGGGACCCCTCAGGTCCCCATCATTTTGGGACTGCAAAGAGCGACAGGACTCAGCTCCCAGCTCTGACAGGGGGTTGTGCTAAAAATCCCCCTTCCTGGGCCATGTGCTTGGCTGGGAAAGTGGGGGACAAGATGCATACCAGGCACGAGGGCTCCCTGATGGATGCTGGCCCTGCAGAAGGAATTGCACAGGGACATTGCTCATCTCTGCAAGGCACTGGCCCCTTGCCCCAGCACCCCAAGCTCAGATCAGTAGCCCTGCACTGGCAGAAGTCTCTGGTTCCCACCAAACCTTGCCCCTCTCATGTGACAATTGCCCTTTGCTGCCTCAGTTTCCCCACTTGGAAAATGTCTGCAGCAGCACGCACTCCTTAGTGCTCTGCAAGTCCCTGGATGGTTTTGTTAACACTGGGTACGTTCAAACAAGTTTTTGCAGCTTCTCCTTGTTCAGGATTTCTTTGGATGATGATCCTGCCAGTGTGGGCAGCCGGCCCCAGCAATCCCTCCCAGACAGAGACCCAGCCCTTCCCTCTGCCCTGCCGGGCTGGACGCTACGGGGGCTTCAGCTGAGCATCCCACCAGGGGCTGCTCCAAGCATCGGTGGCTCAGGGAATGCCACGCTTAGGAAGGATCCTGCATGCCCTGGGGCTTCCCAGCTTTTTGCTGGAGCCGCTGAGCTGGGAGGGGCCGAGCCGGCAGCTCCCCATAAACCTGGCGGCTCAGACAACTCCTGACAGATGTTGGGACCGTGCCTTGGAGCGGAGGCTGGGAAAAGGAGAGGGCGGCTCTTGCCCGGAGTGAGGAGGAGAGCTCGGCACCCCTGGCTTGAACTTTAGCACCCTCTTCCGCAGGAGTTTAACGAGGAGCCGGCTGGAGCCCGGGCAGGCGCAGGGCTGGAGCAGGCGAGGAGCCACAGAAACTTTGTCTGACGAGGATCTTGTGGAGCTCTTCATAAAGGGAGAAAGACCCAGGAAGGCAGGAAGTGTTTGCAGCGCTCGGGACGCTGGTGAGCGGCCCCGGGCCGTGCGAGGAGCCCGTCCTGCCGTGCAGATGTGTGCGATTGGAGCAGCGCTGGGCCGATTTTCCTTTGACTGAAGGCGACCCAGCCCCGGCGGATTAAGCTCTTTGTGTGCACGCGAGTGTGCCTGGATGGAAGCTGCTCCCGCAAAACCGGCTGCGGGGCGTGCGGGGAGCATCCTCTAGGTCAGGGAGCCCTCCTGGAGCAGGGGGAGACCTCCTCCTCCTGTTTTCGTGGCTCTGGGGCGATGCTGGGACAGTAACACCCTTGGCAGGCAGCACAGTGCTTCGGGATGGCCGTCTATGCCCTCACGGGCTTCTCACTCGTCAGCCTGCTCAGCTTTGGCTATTTGTCCTGGGACTGGATGAAGCCCAGTTTGGTGGCTGATGTGGCCACAGACCCCATGGAGAAATCACCGCCTCCCACCTTCACCAGGCCACCCCACATCATCTTCATTCTGACCGATGACCAGGGCTACCACGACATCGGCTATCACGGCTCAGATATCCAGACGCCGACGCTGGACAGGCTGGCAGCAGAGGGTGTGAAGCTGGAGAACTACTACATCCAGCCCATCTGCACCCCGTCCCGGAGCCAGCTGATAACTGGCAGGTAAGCCAGTGCCTGCTCACAGCCTGCTCATGTCCCCCTTTGGTCCCTTCTCTGAGGGGCTTAAGCCCACCTTGCTGCCAGAGTGATGCCCTGGTGTATTGGCAGAGGATGGAGATCCTCCAGCAGATCTGGATTCCTCTAGAAAGCTTCCTGGGTGAATAGTTGATTTCCACACAGGATAAAGAGTGGCACATGGCAAGAGCAAAAATGTGGATGCTGCTGGGTAATGGATGACACTTTGGGAGAGGGTGGTCTCTAGTCAGGAGGTGTTTGGTGCTGGGCAAGGAGCTGTGTCCCAGGTAGTCCCTGACACGCTGGCCCTTGGAGATTTGCTGTGAGGCCCTTGGTCTGTGCTTTGCCTGCATGTGTGTTCAGTGCTGCACTGGCCAGCACAGGCTGGGTGTTGCTCCATTGCCCTCTCCCATGGCAGCACAGTCAGATGTCCCCTTGTCCTGGGCCATTCTGCCTTCTAGAATAGGTGGGGCTTTCTCTGGAGCAGTTCTGCATGGTCAGCACTCCCTGTAGGAGGCAGATCCCACCAGACCACCTCCTGCTGAGGAGTGGGCCCAGGGAGGTGCCTATGGATGTGGTCACCTACTGCCTGGAGTGATGGAACTCACCACTGCCCAAGCAAAGGCGTCCCTTCTCTCCTGATGGTTCTTGAGGTGTCCCAGACATCTTTGTGGTGTGCAAAGCAGGGGAGGACAGAGATGGTGGGGACATTCGGGTGGTACATTATGAACCCACTTGCTTGTGCTGCCCAGCCCTGGCACAGCCCAGCCACCTCCCAGGCTGGCAGCAGTGGGGACAAATGCTGGTGGCATTTTTGTGAGAGGTCTGCTGAGCCTCTGTCTGTGTTCTTTGCATCTACTTTTAGTACTTACAGACAGATAAGGAGCTCCCTGTCCCTGGCTGGACCTTGCTTCATTGGGTTGGGTTGGATGACATGGAAATCTGCATTTGTTTTGGGTTTCCGACACATAAAGTGCCATCACATCCTCACCCAGTGCTGCTCCTCATCACCATTGCTTTCCTCTGGCTCTTCCTCCTGGCAGGTACCAGATCCACACAGGATTGCAGCACTCCATCATCCGCCCTCGGCAGCCCAACTGCCTGCCCCTGGACCAGGTCACCCTGCCGCAGAAGCTGCAGGAAGCCGGCTACTCCACGCACATGGTGGGCAAGTGGCACCTTGGCTTCTACAAGAAGGAGTGCCTGCCCACTCGCCGGGGCTTCGACACCTTCCTGGGCTCGCTGACAGGCAACGTGGATTACTACACCTACGACAACTGCGACGGGCCCGACGTCTGCGGCTATGACCTGCACGAGGGGGAGGACGTGGCGTGGGACCAGAGCGGGAAATATTCCACCTTCCTCTACGCCCAGCGAGTCAGCAAGATCCTGGCATCCCACAGCCCCAAGGAGCCCATCTTCATCTACGTGGCCTTCCAAGCGGTGCACACGCCCCTGCAGTCCCCCAAGGAGTACATCTACCGCTACCGCTCCATGGGCAACGTCGCCCGCCGCAAGTACGCGGCCATGGTGACCTGCATGGACGAGGCGGTGAAGAACATTACCTGGGCCCTCAAGAAGTATGGGTACTATGACAACAGTGTGATGGTGTTCTCCACGGACAATGGCGGGCAGACCTTCTCCGGGGGAAGCAACTGGCCGCTCCGGGGTCGCAAAGGGACGTACTGGGAAGGGGGAGTGCGGGGCATTGGTTTTGTCCACAGTCCCCTGATCAAGCGCAAGCGTCGGACAAGCTGGGCGCTGATTCACATTACAGACTGGTACCCTACTCTGGTGAGCCTGGCCAGGGGCAACCTGAGCAATGTCCAAGGCTTGGATGGCTATGATGTCTGGCCTGCTATCAGTGAGGGTAAGGAGTCGCCACGCACCGAAATCTTGCACAACATTGACCCCTTGTACAACCATGCCAAGTATGGCTCCTTGGAGGACGGCTTCGGCATCTGGAACACGGCTGTACAAGCTTCCATCAGGGTTGGGGAGTGGAAGCTCCTCACTGGCGACCCAGGGTACAGCGACTGGATACCCCCACAGACCCTGACCAACTTCCCAGGGAGCTGGTGGAACCTGGAGCGTCTCACTGATGGCCTGAGGAAGTCCGTGTGGCTCTTCAACATCACTGCTGACCCCTACGAGCGCTACGACCTCTCAGAGCAGCGCCCAGACGTGGTCAGGAGCCTCCTGATGAGGCTGGTGCACTACAACCGCACGGCCATCCCAGTGCGGTACCCTGCCGAGAACCCCCGCGCTCACCCAGACTTCAACGGCGGCGCCTGGGGGCCTTGGGCCACTGAGGATGAGGGGGAGGAGTGGGAAGGAGGCCGGGAGTCCCTGAAAAGCAGGAACAAGAAGAAGAAGAAGAAGTGCAAGATCTGCAAGCTGCGCTCCTTCTTCCGCAAGCTGAACACCAGGCTCATGTCCAACCGCATCTGACAGGACACTCCCCCAGCATCCACCCATCCTGGCCAGGGTGGAGCTCTGGACTGCAGTGCCATGGGCTGGGAGTGAGGGAGAAGGACAGGCAGGGAGGTGGCCAGTGCTCTCTTGCTCTCCCTTGCTCCAAGGTTCACTCCAAAACACTTCTCCTCCCTGGCCGGAGTGGTGGCCACAGGGAGCTCCTCCCAGTGGGTGAGGAAGGGTGATGTGGTCTCTGCTGCCATGCTTGGTGGTGGTGAATGACTGTGCTGAGCTGGGCTGGCCCTGCACAACTGCTTCCAAAGAGAGAGACCTTTTCTCAAGGATTCTGCAGCCAATCATAAGCTTTAAGTGTTGGCCATTGCAAGGGCAGGAGGAGGCACAGGGGGCTCTGCCTTCATGTGAACTCTTGACATTTCCCTCTATTTGCTCCTGGCTTGCAGCCTGCTCCCAAGCAACTGCGACCTCTGCTCTTGCTCTGGGAACTTGAGGGCCTTCCCTAAACCCAAGATCACATTGCTTCTCTGTGGAGGGCTGGATTCCTGACAGATGTCAGACATGAGATCAACGTGGCTGGACTAAGTCATGCTGCTACAGTGACCTCATGTGGGGCTATGGCTTCTCCTCTCCACTGGCTTGGGGGGCCAGGAGCAGCCCTGATGAGGAGCTGTGGCCCATGGAGGCATGGTTGGATGCTCCCAGAGGACAAATGATTCTCTTTGGCCCCATATTTGGGAGGAAGGTTTGCCCCAGGCTATGGTGGTGGACTCTACATGGGTAGAGCAGAGCCTTTCATCCAAAATTTGCCTGGACACCCCCCTCATGTGCAAGCCTCTAGGCACCCCCGTCCTTCCCTATGAATCCTACACATCCAACCAGCCAACCACCCTGTCTGCCCCTTCCTAGTGCTGGAGCTGTCCCTGTCCCCACATCCCATTGCTGAACCTGGTGCAGAGAGAAGATCTCAAGAAGGTCTCTGCAGAAGCTGATCTGCTGCTTTGTAGCTGCAGGACTTTTGAAGCCACGGTGGAGGATGGGGATGATGGGGCCGTCTCCCGCCTGCCAGCACCGCGCCACGTCCCCTCCTCACAGATGGGCACTGCTCTTCCAGCAGCGCACGCGTGGGGAGGAAAACACCTCCCCATCATCCACTGCTGGGGGAGCCAGCCCAGGGATTGCCAGGGCCCAGGGAAGCCAGCAGAGCTCCGGGCCCAGGGAAGCCAGCAGAGCTCCCTGCTGGCCTTCAGCAGGGTGAGAGCGCGCATACGTGCGCTCGCAGGAGAGCTGGCAAGGATGGAAGGGGGTAAATAGCTTTAAAATCGTTTTGGATGCATGGTGCATTTCCATTTACACAATGTGTTTTACATTTCTCCCCACAGGTTTCTCTTGGTGCAGCGTGTGTAGGCGAAGGCCCTGCTGTGAATTTTGAAAATAGTTATTTTTGTCTCTGGAAAATGAGGCCCGTTAGGACTTGTCAGCTCTTGGATGAGCAGTGTGGGCTTTCTATTTTTTTTCTTTTCCCCCCTCTCTTTCTCCCTTGCAAAATAACATTCATTTAAAATCTGTCATTGAAAGATGTGACAATTGGCAGCGTGCACACTGAATACCTTTCAGTGCTCTTTCAAGCCCTGTGTGTGAGAGAGGGATGAGGATGGGAAGAAAATGACATGTTTGTATTTTTTTTTTTCTTCTTACTCTTAGCTGGATTATTTGGGGGTATTGGGATTTTCTATAGAAACAAAGGAAAAAAACCAGCTGACAGCAAGGCAGAAGAGAGGAGGCCTCTTCTTGTGGAGCTGGGAAGGAGTTTGAAAAGCTGGAGTGTGGCAGCATGTGCGCCAGTCCCTGCAGCTCCGCGCACGCCCATTGCTGTGCCATCCCACCCTGCTGGCTCCTGCATCCCTGCATCCCTGCAGGCACATCCCAAGCACTCCTGCATCCCTGCATCCCTGCATCCCTGTGCCATCCCACCTGCTGGCTCCTGCATCCCTGCATCCCTGCATCCCTGCAGGCACATCCCAAGCACTCCTGCATCCCTGCATCCCTGCATCCCTGCATCCCTGTGCCATCCCACCTGCTGGCTCCTGCATCCCTGCATCCCTGTATTCCTGCATCCCTGCATCCCTGCATCCCTGCAGGCACATCCCAAGCACAGGGTTCAGAGGGGGCTCAGCCCCATCTCCATCCCTGCTCCCTTAGCATGTTGCTCCAAGAGGACTGGTCCCCACAACATCACCTGGGTGAGCCCCAGGAGGATGCTCCACATCCTCACACTACCTCAAACCAAGCCAGCCAGCCTGGTCCCTGGGGATGTGCACCATCAGCGGGACTGCGGCACTGGCTGCCATTTGGCAGAACCAAGCAGTTGCTGAAAATAAAGCAACATTTTGCTGAAGAAGAGGAGGCTGCAGCAGGCAGAGCCAAAGCCAGGGGAGAGCAGGGGGTGATGCTGCAGGGGCTTGGGAACAAATATTAGCTAAGGGAGAGTTGGTGCTGAAGGGAATGGGAGAGCAGGGCTGGACATGAGGTGGTGACAAGGCTCAGGAAACAGCTTTCATTTCCATATTTACATAAATGCATCCAAGTTTAGTCCTTTTATTTTCTTTTTCTTCAAAAATGGAAATTTCCATGAAAACATGTTCAATCTTTCTCCCTTCCCTTTTTACTAACATCCCCATGAAAATGTTCGTCTGGTCACACTTCCTCTTTCCAGGTTTGGATCTGCTGGGCTGATGCTGGGTTTGCTGTCAGCCTGGTCACAGTGGTGGATCTGTTGTCATCTGTATTTTTAATTAAAAAGAGTTGGATTCTGAATGTTTGCAAGAAGCAGCAGCTGAAGGAAAATCTTAGTCCCTGAAAACAAAGAGGAGAGGTGGGCAGGAGCATCTCTGGGTGCTTGGAGAGAGCAGAGCCTCCAGCCTGAGGGCAGCAGTTGTCCTTCACCCCTGATTCCAGCTGTGCTGTGTCTGAACATTGGGCTGGGAAAGGAGATGCAGCTGCTGCCACGTGTTCCCCTCATCAGAGCGATGTTCATTAATGGTCTATGCTGGGAAAAACACAGCTATGTGCCAAACCCCCGTGTTTTCAGAGAGCTGAAGTCCCCCGGGGCTGTGTGCGCGCTCTGGCTGCCAAGGGGTTAATGCAGCTGGAGAGATGCTCAGGCGCTGGAGTTCCCTGCACCCGGGAGATGTGTTTGCACAGACGGGCTGAGGCTCCCCTCCTTGCCCGCCTCCCTTCAAGCCCCGCAGGAGCCGGGTGTAGGACGGGGCCGGGCCGGGCAGCGCAGGGCAGGGCAGGGAGGGCGCCCGGGGGCCCTGGGGCTGGAGGGGGCGGTGGGACCGGAGGGGGCGGTGGGGGCCGGAGGGGGCGGTGGGGCTGGAAGGGGCGGTGGGGGCTGGAAGGGGCGGTGGGGGCTGGAAGGGGCGGTGGGGGCTGCCTCCCTGCAGCCATGGATGGACCGGCTGTCTCCGGCCGGGCTGCTCCCAGCCCGCGGGCTGCAGCGAGGGGGAAGGGGATGGGCTGGGAACGAATGGAGCTGGGATGGGATAGCGATGGGGAGGAGGGTAAGAGGAGGGTGGGGCTGGGCTGGGCTGGGCTGGGAAGAGGAGGGGATGGGATAGGACGGGGATGGAATAGGGATGGGATGCATCGGGCAGGACTGGGGTACGTCAGAGCCTCTCCAGCCCCGCAGGCAACTCCCACCCGAGAGAGGGGAGAAGCCCAGCATCAGGACAGGGGATGGGCATCCCAGCAAACTGCCCCAGTGGCAGAGGCAGAGCACCCTGAGCACCTCAGGTGTTCTGCATCAGGGGCACACTTGTGTCCTTTCTCATGCCAGAGATCTGAGGACGAGTGGTTTTGCAGGTTCCCCCCACTCAGATTCGGTGCACAGGGAGCCACATGGCACCTGTTGAGTGTCCCCAAGCATCGTGGGCATGTCCCCAGGAGGGTTTTGCCTGTGAACCCTGCTGGAGGGGAGAGGGTGGCACTGAGGGCACCCTGTCTCAGCCAAAACCACCTTGCTTTGCATGCAGGAGCAAGTGCTGGGCCTGTAGGGACAGGGCACGTTTGCAAACACAGCCCTAAATGTAAATCAGCTCTCCTCACCACAGTATTTATAAACTTATCTAAAAATAACCCCAAATTCAGCTTCCCAGAGGACAGCAACTGAGCATCCCCCAGACCCCAGCTTGCATGTGAAGCTGTCCCAGTAATTTTGGGATCTCTGCAGTATGTAATTGGCAGCCTGGCTGGTTTGGTGTGCGAGGCACTGCTGCAAGCCCCATCCCCTGGGAGCAGGGGCACTGCTGCAGCCCCCCCAGGACACGTGGATCCATCCTGAGCTGCCCATCCCGTGAGGCTGGGGTTCAGCATCCGACCTCGGGTGCCCACCCTGGGGCAGCCCCGTGCTCGGATGCAGAAACCGAAGCTCTGCAGGCAGAGCTGGAGCAGGGTGTGGAGAGCAGGATGCATTTTTGGAGAGGCCAGCCCAGTGATGGAGAGGAGCACTGGGGATGAAGGTCTCCATCAGGTGGCCAGACCCGAGCATGGCAGCAGGAGAGCAGCATGGCTCCAAAGCCCTGCAGGAGCAAACCCTGGGATGGCTGGGAACAGACACATCCTAAGGGTATCCTGAGGCCTCTGGGAGAGGACTGGGAGTGCTCCCCCCTACAGGGGAGCCCCCAGCCCAGAGGTGGAAGGTTCCACCCAAAGCTCCTGCTCCCCTGGGATTGTCCCCAGGCACCCAGGATTGGGACCACACAGCAGTTCCTGCTTGGGAAAACATTATCAGCAAAGCAGAGCCTGTTCAGCACGCAGAAGTCTGACACCCCCTTACCCTCAGAAGGAAAAATGTCGAGGAAAATGAAAAAAAAAAAAAATTGAATAGAGAGAAGAGCAGAGAGGGAGAAACTTTTCCTGGAGAGCCCTGGGGAGGGAGGCAGGGTCCTGGTGGGGACTGTGCCATCACCCCTGTCCGGGGGAGGGCTTGGGCTGCAGCAGGGCCCGGGGGGAGCAAG